GGTATTGCAGTTTTGTCTGTAAAGTGGCTGCGCGGTCTCATTTTATAGTAGTTCACTGAGCTATATGGACAAAATGCCAGGCGCTTCCGTCTCTATTATCTGAATCTGCAGAGAATATTACCCAATGGTGTCGGTGCCTGTGTCTGAGGTTGAGAGAACGCCAGCGCCAACTGGCGCAACAACCGAGAAACCACCTCCTCTTCCATCTGTCTGTGCAGAACTGAATCCGCGAGAGGAACTTCCCTGACCGGAGGTTGGGAAGTCTTCGGGGCATCGACTCCGGGTAGATGGTTAAACATCAGGCCAGTTCCGATTTGGTCCTGATGGCCAACATCCTGGGCCTTAAAGCAAAAAATTACAATAAGTCGACCCTTCAGGCACAAGTGCAATTGCGAAATAGTAACAATGATGGCAACAGACCGGTTTGTGTGGTGGTTTTGCCTGTTCAAGAGGACACATTGAATACTGACGCATTCCTAAAGGCTGAATGGTCCGTCTCTTCGCTGGCGATCGAGGTCGAACAGAGCGTTCTTGAATGTTTTCTGGGAGTTCCAAATTCGACGGCACTCCGTCATCAAATCGTACTGCCTTCCGCGTAATCGGGACGTTATCTAAAGTGTCAAAAGGAACGGGAAACGCCAGTAAGAATAATCAAGAAGGCTAATGGTTCAAAGTGTTGGTCAAGTCAATTTTAAAAGCCTACATAAATTGAGGGCGGGATTTGCTGCTAGTTCAACAGTGAGTGAAAAACTTACTTTCCCCAGCATATACAACAAAAGTCATTCGAATATCTGGAATCGATTCGAACCACACGCAAAGAAACCTGAAGGATAAATACCTTGGGTGAGAGCGATACTGAAAAGCTACTCTAAATTAGACAATTCGTCTAGCAACAAAGTGGCCAGAAGGCCTTGCAGACACTTCCTAAGACTCACATATTAACATTGCCATTTGTACCTTGCATCCTACGATTATGAAAGGTCAGTTTGGCGTAAAATGAGTCAACTTACGTCATAGCGTTATAGAAAGCATGTTCGTGCCGCTTAACTGCAGTCTGCACTTCATTGCTGCCTAAGAATTGGTGCACCCTAATCTGTGCATGCACCACCCTATTCTGCGGGTACCTCTGGTGAAGGATTCTCACCAGAATCCGAAACTTCAGGCAAATAAACTTCTTGTTCT